TTTTTTTTTTTTTTTTTCGTATAAAATAATTTTAATTCTGAAAACATATCAAGAGCTTGCGCACAGCAGTGTTATGACAATCCCAAGTGAGACAAGTACATGAAAGGAGATATTCAAGGCACTTCAAAGAAAAGAGTGTGCGTGTGCAATTGTACCTAGATAGATAGATCATTTAATGAATGTTATCACGCACCAAGACAAAGGAAACCTTTGTGTGAAGCTGAGAGAGTGTTTTCTCAAGATAATGCCATGCTAGAGCCCAATCTAAGATCATCAAATACGTTCAAACATCTACAGGATTGATATGACCTAACAATCCTTGCACAAGCTGGACAGATTTATAAAAACAGAAATTAATTTAAATATCATACAGCATAGAAGAGGCTTTGACATGCAGTAAACTCTGAATTAATCTAGAGCACAGATACCTAAAGACTGTCTAAGAGTGTCAAATTGATGATTATCTAAAGTTTTTGCCACAAAACATTTAACATCCAAATTCTCTAAAACAGAATGTTCATGCACAACATTAGTAGAGGCAAACATACAATTATGATTTTCCTTTTTCCTCCAAACTAACTTTGTCTTAGTTGACGGCAAACAATGAAAAGAAGATAGCTTGGATAAGCGGTTTACCTTAAATCTTATGTTGGATACTTACTTTTCCACCCATGACATGAAAATTTGAACGAACAAATTCGTTTCGAAGCTTATTGCATCTTGGTCTTATGTGCCCACGAGTTCCACAAAAGTGACAAATTGGAGTGAATTTCTTGACTTCATGAACTACAGATGGTTCAATAGGTGAAGAGGATTTGACAAACTTTGTTTTAGACACAGCGGAAGACTTATTACTTGGTTCAAATCCCAAGCCTCGTTTGTCACCATCTCTTCTTCCCATGCTAATCATCCTGTCAATTTTTTCAGCACCAATGGTTAAAGAAACAATCCTTTCCTTTGAATTTTTAAGTTCAAGTTCAAGGGCTTTGTTGTCAGAGGTTAGAGATGCAATTAATTTGTTCTGATCAGTCAATTTTTTCTGTAAAAACATCAATTTTTCGTTTATACCTGCACTTACCTTTTGGGAATCTGCGTCAGGGTATTGAAACTCCTTTGCAATCCTGCAATTTTCCAGCTTCAGCACGGCAATGGATTTTACAAACTCTTCATTTTGTTTGCTAAGTTTCTGAGAGGCAGCCAACAAATCATCATATTTGTTCATGATAAACTCAACATCCATATCTTCACAATCATCATCCTTCTTCGTTGGTTCATCCAAGCTTACAGTCGTGATAAGTGCAATGGCCTTCTCTTTATTTTCAGAGTCAGAATCACTGTCACTCCAAGTAGTATGCATTGCCTTATTCTTACCATTCTTTTCTTTCTTTAAGGTCTTGGCACATTCCGAAGATATGTGTCCATAACCTTCACATTCGAAACATTTGAACTTTTCTCTTGGATTCTTTCGTTCATTTGACCTGCGAAATTTAGACCCACCATCAGTATAGTCAACAAATCTATTTTTAGAATTTATACCTTTTGAATCTCGACTCCGCGGATCCTGATTCTTGAGAAATTTCATGAATCGTCTTGTGAGAATCGTTAATTCCTCATCACTGCAATCTTCATCGGAATGCCCATCATCTTCTTCATTCACAACCTTGAAAGCAACACTTTTGCTCTTTTTAGGAGCTAGATGTTTCATCTCATAGGTTTGTATGGACCCTATGAGTTCTTGAACTTTCACGGTGTTCAAGTCACGAATCTCTTCAATAGCCGTGATCTTTGGTTGAAACCGTTGAGGCAAGGATCTCAAAATCTTTTTCACAACCCTATCTTTCGAAATTTTTTCACCTAAACTTGAACAAGCATTCACAATTACACAAAGTTTAGCATAAAATTCAGAAAAAGTTTCATTCTCATCCATCATGAGTGTCTCAAATTGTAAAGTATGCATTTGAAGCTTGGCTCCCTTGACAGTATCTGTTCCTTCATGAGTAACCTGCAAAATATCCCAAGCTTCCTTAGAAGTATCACAACCAGATATATATTCAAATTGATCGGAAGAAACAGCAGTAAATAAAGTATTTAACCCCTTTTGATTATTAGTGCTATGTGTGACTTCTTCAGTGGTCCACTCCTCTCTGATTTTGACAACTGTGGTTGCTTCATCTCCTTTTCCGATCTTCTTTGTGGGTTTAGGAAATCCACGAACCACTGTATTCCATACACGTTCATCTAAGGACCAAAGAAACGACTTCATCTTAACCTTCCAAGCACCATAGTTGTGGCCATCGAAGTATGGGGGATGTGCAACAGAACCCGCGGCACGATGCATCCTAAGGTATGTTAGATCTTGCTGAGTATGTCCAGCAACCTGCTCTGATACCAATTGAAAATACCTGTAGGATGACTAAAAATGCCTAGAGGGGGGGTGAATAGGCCAATTTAATATTATAATCAATAAACAGAAAATAAACTTCGGTAGCAGGATTGATATGGCTTGATATGGCTTATCAATCCTGAAACGTGCTGGGCATAAAATAAAAGAACACGCAGAGAATTATTTTACGTGGTAAAACCCATGTACCGTGTCCGCGTAGCATACATCCTTGGTGTCGGTAGTGATCCGCAAGTATCTTTAAAACCTCAAATAAACATGTGTACCATACAGAATGCTACGACATACGTATAAGGCTGTGACATGTTATGCATATGTAAGAATAGCCATAACTGACCCAAAAATGGATCACCCAAGAAAAAAGGGCAGAAACCTAAAAGTCAAAATAGTGACAGAAGAATTAAAGACGTGACTATGGAAAATAGGATGAGCCGAGAATATGGAAAAGCTTGCACCAATAAGTCAAAAAACCAGTCTCACCTATGTAGTCAAATTTGTGGAAAAGTCACGAGACTCGCAACCAGTCATATTAGCAATTACCTATGATGCTTGATAAGGCAAAAAAATCACTAAATCAACCACTTGTTATAGCAAATAAACTTAACCAAACTCAGAGACAAACAAGATTTGATCAACATAAAAGCGTATTGATAACTACGAAAGGAATTTGCATAAGATGAAGGGAGCATAAACTAATGCAAACACGTTGCATTATGAGAAATAATATAAACTTCAATCAGAGCATGAGACGTGGTCGGCTTTGGAAACCTAGGCAGATGATGAAATATTGAGTTTTATTCAGATGATCAATTTCATACAATATTATTTCAATTGCACATATGCATGCATACATGTGAAAGAAGAAAGAAAGAAAGAAAGAAGCAAAAGCAAGAAAGCGCAAGTCTCATCTGCGAGGGTGAATGGTGTAGTATGTTTGTATGGAAGTGAGAATGAGAAGGGCAAACGCAGCCAGGAAAGATGTGAAACTCCATGTGGAAGAGAAGTAGGTGCTGAAAAGGACCCTTATTTCTCTTAGAAATCGCACCCTCAGAAATACTTGAAGCTTGCTCAAGCTGCACCAGGACGTGCAATACTCGTTCACTTGGTCTCGCAATTTATCAAAATAGAAGTCGTCCTTCACAACAACTTCATCAAGAATATCCTTGAACTGACTCAAATACTCATGGTCTCCAATCCTATTATGCCTTATGATCCCTTTTTCTCGGAGCAGCTTGCTGTCCGCTGAGGAACGGATGAGACTCTTCATGAGGAAGGCATACGACGTCACGCCATGTGTAGAGCTAAGGCTGTATTGCTCGAAGGCAAGGAGGTTCCTGAACACTGAACTGGTAGCCTCGTCAATGATCAACTGGGGAATGCTGATGACCCCGTTGCTGAATGTTATGTTCAACAAATTGTCCTCCCAAGAACCAATCTGAAACTGGATCCCAGACTCCAAAAGTTCCGAAGCGCAATAGTTGAATCCCCACTTGTTGTTTGTTGCTGGCTCATCAGGTTCGGGAAGGCATGAAGCAGTTTGTTGCTTTCTTCTCTTAAATATTTTTCTCATAAAAAGGCATGCAGATTGTTGTGATTTAACCTTGGAAACCAATTCCACATGATTGACCTTGATCTTAATTGACACCTCATGGCCAGGCACTCCAACTCTGAGGAAGTAGAATTTGTGCAAGAGATCAAGCAAGTGCTTGAAGTCTGTCCCCAGCTCGTGTTGATCTTTAGCTATCGGCTTTCCGCTCAAAGGTTGAAAGAACATGAGAGCAAGACCAGCAACCGAGTGTGGTGCTTCATGGCCGTTGATCACTACACGAGGGTGGACAGTGTCATACAAACGTTTGAGAATAAAGAAAGGGATTTGGTTTTCAAGCAAAGCCAAATCATGCTGAAGAGCCGCGATCATCCAAGCACTTTTTAGTACTGGATCAGGGCCGTCTTCTTTTTCCACTCTCTTGGCGTAGTACCTGAGGAAGAGTTCTAAGATGAAGCAGCCATCAAGTAACATTATTCTTGCGAGCTCATTCTTCCCATAGTTGATGTTTTCAGCGTAGCATTGACGAACCTCCTTGTCTAAATTATAAATAGCATTCATGCAATTTTCCAAGCATTCGTGAGACTCGTCAGGATTATCCTTTTGCTGCAGAAAGCTTAACATGTAACGCCATTTGTGCTCTCTCATAGCAGCTACAAAGTCAGTGTTTTTTCGATGAAAAGGTCCAATTGAGATGACGTGAGGATTGTAGGCATCCTCTCTCACCTTTCGAAGTTTGCTTGGGACTTGATAGATGCATGATTCTTCTGCTTCCTTAACTGCTCTGAGTCTCTCTTTAATCTCCAATACCCACTTAGTCTTCAGTGTCTCTTCTTCGTCTTCCACGCCTTCCAGCTGCTTTGCGTCCAAAACAAAACGACAAAAAATTCCAGAAGTTAAAAGAGAAAGAAAGAGGTGCCAATTCACATTAATGAACAAATGTTGATGAAAAAGAAGACACTAAGTGAGAAAGAAAGATCGTAGCTCTCGTTTATACCTGATGTGTTTCCTCTTCTGATTGATTCATCATCTTAGCAGGTTAATTTCCCCTTTGTCTCCATAGTATTGCCTTCTAATCTAATTTATATCCCAAATTTGGAAGTAAAATATAATAATTGAACTTGACCCTACGATCCCAGTCTCCTAATAGCTCTGTGGAAACCAAATTAAATCAGAACCCTAGATCGAATAATTTCTTCCATTTGGGGATTATTTGACCTAATTGGGAATTACT